AACCTAAACACATGTGGAAGCTGATTTTAAAATTTTCGGAGTTGCAAAAAAATGTAAAGTGTCCGCTGTCTACTTTAAACTTCTGCTTACCACCCTGCCTGATTCTCAAACACGGAAAATTGCCAACAATTTGAAATCTTTGGATCGCATACAGATAAGGGGAGTCGTCCTAAAATTTCAGCTCCCCAATTTTTTTGGTTTCCGAGTTAGCATTTTTCTTATCAAAATTTTCACGTCCCAGCAGTAATACCTAGACGTTTTTTTTGAATTGAATTTTAGACCTTACGTGGGTAGAAAACATCTCCTAAAAAAACTTCGACCTTCTACCTTTTCACTTTCTCAAGATCCTTGGCCAAGTGCCACGCAAAGAATGCGGCACCAGCCTTCATACCTCTGAAACCCGCGTACGAGCACGAGAAAATTTTCGGCGGGAAAATTACTAATTCGAGAATTAGGAAAGCTCGAAAGCTGAAATCCTGAGAGGGCATTTCCTGTCTACATACAATTTAAAGATTTCAAATTCAACCCCCCTGATATGCGTGGTTTTCACATAAGAACACGACTAAATTTTGGCGGGAAAATTGCTAACTCGACAGCCCGTAGAACCAGGAAGCTGAAATTTTAAGAGGATATTCCCTGTCAACGTACAAGTTAGAGATTTCAAATTCAGCCTTCAGGCCTGTATGGTTCTCAAGTACGGGCATGTGAAAGTTTTGGCGGGAAAATTGCTAGCTCAAAATCCAGAAGAGCTGAAATTTTAAGGGAATGTTCCCACTCCAAGTACAACTTAAAGATTTCAAATTCAGTCGCCAAATATGCGTGGTTCTTATTTAAAAATTTAATTGCTCACTGAACAGCTAGGTCATTTTCAAAGAGAAACCGTTAAACGGGAATTATTCATTTTCCTTTATGCAAAATTCGCGACGATTTACACTAATGAGTACACAAGGCAAATGTAAAGCAACAATCATTCACTCAATTCACGACTGGCTGTTTCTCACTATTGCAGCATAATAGCGCTGCAGCATAAAATTGCAGGGACAGGCAGCCATTTCTGGAAAACAACTGGATCGGTCAAAGACTACTTCCACTCAACAAATAAACTGCCCTCGGGCAATACAAGCTAGTGCATAGTACGACGACAACAAGGGATTGCGTAGGGATGTTAGCGTATGTGGATGTGTGTATGTTGTGTATGTGTGTGGGTCTGTTTGTATGCGATTGAGTGTTTGTGCCAGAAACTTGTATGCCTGACATGCCTAAAAATCAATTTGTTTTTGAACACATCCATTCGAAATTGCTCGATAACCAAGCAAAGGAGTGTCAGGAGCGCGGGCTGTGCGCATACGACGCTTCCACAATTTCGCTGCTTTGCTCCTGTTCTACTGCGAGCCGTTCCGGAGAGCGTGTTCTTTTTCTAGTACAGTTAAAAATTCACATATATATATAAGCCGTGATCATTCTTCCTGGTTCTTTGTTCGGTACGTTTAAAATAATTTCATAAAGGTCAGGACTATTTGCTGTCACTTCCTGAACGAAGTAATACCTCTGTCCTCCTGTGTTTTTTCTTTCTTATTTATTTTTGCATACTCCAGAAAAGCATTATGACGAAATTATGCTTGTATAAGCGTGTCTGTCTGTCCAGATGAATTGTCGTTAAAGTTATGAAAGCTAGGAATCGTTCTGAAAATTTTATAGGGGTGAATCCGCTTTTTTAGAAGAGAAATCTGAGGGCAGAAATCGGTGATAAAAAAGCTGAATAGTTAACACGAAAATGGTACCATTCCCTTCCATATTTTTGCCGTAATATCAACGCTTTCTCCTTAAACTGGTTGTTCTTTCGTCTCATCACTTGAAGATGTTACGCTTAACTCAACAGCCTCTGTCCAAAAACAATTGAGCTGGTAATTCCTGTTGATCTGAGAGTGAAATGAAAGTCACGATCGCCAACAGGTTGACCCGCAAGCAATGCAGCACAGATAAAAGCAAATAAAAATATTGCTACTTTCATAGGTAGAGATCCAGACAATGAATTAACGGATTTTCTATGTGTTCCAGTTTTTGGTTCAGATTTTAGTTAGCTAGAAGTACTGCTGACGGTAGCACTCCGAACAGTGCTGTAGCAGTATCAAGCACAGTCCACAGACAT